GCCCGGTCCCGGGGAGCCAGCCGGCCGGGGTTCGGTCCCGGGGGGAGGGGAGCTTCGGGGGTACCGGGCGGGGGAGTCGTGAGCCAGAGGGGAGGGGGCCGCGGGTTTCATGTGCCCAGCATGAGCTCCTACTTCGTCAACCCCCTGTTCTCCAAATACAAAGGCGGCGAGTCCCTGGAACCGGCCTATTATGACTGCCGGTTCCCCCAGAGCGTGGGCCGGAGCCACGCGCTGGTGTACGGGCCCGGCGGCTCGGCGCCCGGCTTCCAGCACGCCTCGCACCACGTCCAGGACTTCTTCCACCACGGCACCTCGGGCATCTCCAACTCGGGCTACCAGCAGAACCCATGCTCGCTGAGCTGCCACGGAGACGCCTCCAAATTCTATGGCTACGAGGCGCTCCCCAGACAGTCCCTTTATGGGGCGCAGCAAGAGGCGAGCGTGGTGCAATATCCCGACTGTAAATCCTCCGCCAACACTAACAGTAGCGAAGGACAAGGCCACTTAAATCAAAACTCGTCTCCCAGCCTCATGTTCCCATGGATGAGACCCCACGGTGAGAAGCCTTTTCTCTTTGCCCCTCGGTCTCCCGCGCTCCGGGGTCTTCCCCCCCCACCCTCCCTCCCCTCCTTTTTGTCTGCCTTCGCTTTCCCTCCTGGCTTTGGGGTCTCTCCCGCCTCCCTGCCTGGGTGGGTTTCCCTAGGTTGGGGAGGTTCTGCGGGGCATGGAGGTTCTGTGGCTCCTGGAACATTTGGGGGACTGGGGGGAAGGTGGGGGAAATGTGGGGCCTGGGTGCAAAGGGTTAAAAACTGTTTTCTCCATCTGTCTGTCTCTGTCTGTCTCTGTCTGTCTCTCTGTCTCTGTCTGTCTCTCTTTCTGTATATGTATGTGTGGGTGTTTGTGTGGGTGTCTGTCGCTCCCTTTCCCCATCTCTAAAGTCAAAGTCTGGGGGATGAGGCTGGCAAGGGCCCCCAGTTACCCTGAGGTTATCAGCCTTTGGAGAAAAGCATTTATTCACAAGGCACAGAGTCTGGGATCAGGGCAGTGGCCAGACTGTCTTGAGGGAGGAGGAGACCCCTGTTTTCCTCCCCTTGCTGGGTCAAAGAGCACCCCCCCAAGGACAGGTGCCCTGGGGTACCCACTACCCCTTCTCAGAGACTAAGCTGAGGGCCACTACCCTAACTCTGCTCCACTTCTCCCAGTTGGAAGACAGGCAGGCAGCAGGAGAGGAAGGACAAGAGAGCCTGGAAAGAGAGGCCAAGCAGAGGAGGTGCTCTGAGCCTCAGAGTCCCCTGGCAAGGCTGCCTACAGGCAAGGGCATCCGGGGTCTCCCTGAGACCTTCAGAGGGGGCTCAGGTCATGAGTCCCTCCGAGGGTGGCTCTGCATGGCCCTGTTTCGAAGTAAAGGGGCAAGTGAGAGAGCAGCGACAAGTTCCAGTGGAGATGGCCCGTGATTTATTTGCTGGGCTCTAGTTAGCAATCAGGCAGAGCAGTGATACAGTCCAGGAGATCAATGATTTTTCTTATTGGAAAAGCATTAGGCAGAGAGAGGTGAGGAAGGGGCAGTGGGCAGTGCCCCTCTTCTTTATCCTCATGCCCCCCACCCCTTCTTTTGGAAACAGACTGTGTTCTCAGCCCTACTCTCCAAATGCCACCCTGCACTTGTAAACAAAGCTATACGGGCCACTTTCCTGGGATTGCAGGCCTGGGGGACTCTGTAGGACTCCCCTGGCCCCTGCCAACCCCCAGCTTCCAGACAGACCACCCCCACCTATACCCCCACCCTCACTTCACCTCCCAAGATGATGCCCAACCAAAACAAGCCCCCAAACTTTCCTGCCCTTGTCTGCTTTCTGCCCTGTCTTTTCCCCTGGAGGGAGGGAGAACTGGGGAACTCCCAGGGAGAACTTTGAGGGAGGAAGGGTGGCAGAGATAACCCAGAGTCCCCACACAACCGTAACCAGACCGGGGTTCTGTTCTGTCCAGCTCCGGGGCGGCGCAGCGGACGGCAAACTTACAGCCGATATCAGACCTTGGAACTAGAAAAGGAGTTTCTCTTTAATCCTTATTTGACACGAAAGCGCCGGATTGAGGTCTCTCACGCCCTGGGACTGACGGAGAGACAAGTGAAGATCTGGTTCCAGAACCGAAGGATGAAGTGGAAAAAGGAGAACAACAAGGATAAACTTCCTGGAGCCCGTGACGAGGAGAAGGTGGAGGAAGAAGGAAACGAGGAAGAGGAGAAAGAAGAGGAGGAAAAGGAAGAAAACAAGGACTAAGCAAAAAAGAGAGAGAGAGATCCCCCCCCCACTTAGCAACTCCCTTGAAGTTTCGTTTTATGGTAGCGGATAATTGAGAAGTTTACGACAGTCATTTGCTTTTATAGAGAATAGAATGACACTCACAACTCTAACTACCTGTCAGATACTTGCAGCTCTGGCTTTATTACCTTCAGACTCCCCCTCTCTTTATTTGTCTGGGGGCTGGTGAAGTGGGGGGGGACCGAGACACTGCAAAAAAAGGAAAAGTTTGGCTGTGTCTCAATGCTCGCCCCCCCCCCCCAACACACACACTTGCTCCTACCCCCACCCCTGTGAGTCCTTCCTGGATTGTGAGGTCTGAGACCTGGCTTCCTGGCCAACCGTCCCCATCCCCTTCCTGTCATACCCCCACCTCCCTCTTTCCCTGGTATTTATTTTAAAGGGGAGCCCCCTCAAAATGTGGAGGAGTACTCCTGGCTTTGTTTGTATGCTAGGATTTTCGCTTATCACATTTATTTTTCTTTCTCTTTTACTAAAGGAAAGGGAAGAGGGCAAAAAGAAGAAAGGAAATAGTAAAAAAATAAAATGATAGCCAGGAATATTCCCCCGCAGGGGCTCCCTGCTTAGAAGGACACTCCCCCCCCCACACACCTCTTGACTTTCTCTAGGAACCTGATGTGGTGGTGGGTCTCTCCCCTGCCCCCTTTTGAAGGGGGGTACCTAGGAACCCGCAGTCACCTCTCCAAGCCTACCTACCCTGTCCCATGCTCCCCCCACGGGCCCAAGCCTTTCTCTCTCGCTGTTTGACTTCTGTTTTGTTGGGCCCGGCTTCCTCTGAGCTGCTAGTGTTTGTGCTCAGAAATCACCATAATCATGAAAATAATAATAATAATGCTGATAATAAATCTTAAATATACTACCTAAAGGGAACCTGCAATAACCTTGAAAAAAAAAGAAACGAAAAAAAAATCCTAATATAGGAGGGGAAAAAAAAGAGAAAAAAATTAAAAAAAAAAAAGACAAACCTCCAATGTATTTTATCAGTCCCTATAGAAAGGAACCTGCCTTGAGCGTATTCGTCATGCAGTTTTGTTGTCGTTTGTTGCTGCTTATTTCACTAAGAGAAACCCAACAACTGAGACTGCCTAGCCCGCCGGTACTGTGCGCTTTCTTCCTCGTGCTTTTCACCCCAGTAGAGTAGAACTAAATTGCACTGAATGTATAGTTAACGCTCTGTCTTGAATTCTCTGTTTATGCAATGTGCTCGAAAGGAAAAAAAAACACGTTAAAATTATATCTATAATAATAATTTTTGGTCATTTGTCTTTATGTCCAGCTATGAATGTAGATTTGGTGTCCCAACAGCCCTGTTCCTGGTCCAAGTACTTTGTATTGTATACGTGAGTCATAATAAAAAAAATTTTAAAAAAGGAGAAAAAATACTTGAAGCTGGACTCCCTCTGCCTTCTCTCCATCTCCCACCCTACCTCCACCCTCACCTCCTTTCCTGGCCCTCTGGCAAAGGCCTGCTGCACCTGGGGCCTGAAGTGGGGGTGGGGGGTGATGCATTCAAGTGGATTGGGCCTGGGAGTGGAGGTGGTCTGCTGGACTGGGAGGGCAGGTGAAAGGAGAGGAGGAGGAGGAAGAAGTTCCACTCCTTGTTGGGCAGCGGAAGGATGACAGGATGCTCTTCAGAGGAAACCTTGACTCCGAAAAGCTTCTCAATGGGAAGACAACTCCCTCAGCATCTCCTTTCTCCTCAACCCTCCTCTGGGCCCTGACACAGCATGTGCCACCTGTCCTTCTCCCAGAGGAGGACTTTTTCTTCCAGGCTCTGCTCAGGATGAGGCAGCAGGGGCCTTTCTGATCCCCAAGGGCCCTCCGGCAGTTCCTTGGGCAGTACCCAGCATCCAGCACTAGAACAGGGACTAGGGTGGGAGAATGGTGAGGCCCAAGGCAGTTGACCTGTCTGGGGGGATTGTGGGAGGTATATCTAAAGGTGGGAGATCCTAAGGGTGGGAGTGAGGAGGATTTTGAGTGAAGGAGAAAAAAGGAGAAGGGGACGACAAATGAATTGATGAACCCAGTCAGTCAGTCCACATCCTGAAACTTGGCCGACAGACAGACAGACAGACAGCCCTCACTGTCACCCAGCCAGAACTGTCCGCTCCAGCCCCTGTGCCTGCTCTCAGGGCAGTCCTGGCTGTACCCCAGCAGTTGGGTAGCTAGCCTGGTCCTGCTTCCTGCTTGCTTTTTTCAGGCCTTTCAGGCCATTGGCCTGGATGATTTTAGGAGTGGGTGGGTGCCTGATGAGAGAACGTTCCTTCCAACCACAGTAGTCTGGGGGAGGCCCCCCCTCCCCAAATAAACGGGTTGAAGGTGCAGGAACTTTGGGGGCAAAAGGGTCTCTCACTGCTCTCTGGAGAGTCCTAGATAGGGAAATCTGTTTATGCCAATAAGATTCTGGTCAAATCATCCCAAATTCCAGAGATACAGGCTGTCTGACTCAGTCATGAGATGGGGTAAAGGGGAGGGGAAGGGATCTTCTGGTCTGAAGAACCAGACTCCCAAAGCCTAAAATATTGTTTAGGCCATCTCTCTATCTCTCTCTCTCTTAGTCTGTCCCCCACTGCCCCTGCTCAGTGGTTTCCCTAGCCCCAGGCCCCCATGACGGACTGAACTCTTGCTTTGTGTCATTTCACTGGGAGGGTCCCTGGCTCCCACGCAAAGTGATACTGAGAAAGATGGGGTCAGAGACTGAGTGGAGACAGAAGACTTCTGCAGGAGGCTGCGGACTGGAAGCTCAGGCTGCTGGCAGCCGCAGGAGGACCGCTTAGGGCAGACACTCCTGTGAAATCTTTCTGAACCTGGGGTCCCTGTTGGGAACTCCTGTGACAGCCAGGTAACCCCATTTACAGCAGGACAGGGAGACTCCCGGCTACAGCTAGGGCCTCGGCCTCGGAGGCCCGACAAGATATTGCATTTCTTTCGGGGGCCCTGGCCTTCCCACGGGGCATTGCTTCCTTGTTCTGAGAAGGCTGGACAGGCAGAGGGCTGTTTCATTTTTAAATGCAAAATTATGAGTGCTATGGAAAAAAATATATGCATCTGCTACAGAAGCCTAGCCTAGTGAACCCTACATTAAGGGGCTCTGGTGGGCCTCCCTACCTTTCCCCCACACCCAAGGCCCCATTCATCCTTGGCTCCAAGCCCCGCGAGAGTCCGAGGTGGGTGCCTCTGACTTCAGACCCTGTGCAGTGGTGGGCATGGGGGGGAGGCCAAGCCAAGCGAATCTCCACCACCCGCTCCTGAGGCACCTACTCCTCCGTCCCTCCTGCCCACTGCCTCTATTTTCTCGTTTGGAGGAAAAAGGAGGTAAAACCCCGTTTTATGAGGGAATGTAATAGCGAGCGGGATGCGCTCTCTTTAGAAACGCACCCTCCCAAATGCTCCCGCCGCCCCATTACCGGAATAGGGACCATTCGGCTGCGGCAGATAGGACTTACTTCCATTCTTTACTTTTTATTAGCCAATCAAAGTGGCTTCCGAAAGCTATTTGTGATTTGTGAAAAATAGTATCTTTCAAAATGCTGAGTTGAACCATCTCGCTCATTTCGCCTAGAATTTATTATTCTAATCTCAGCCGTAGAGACGGAATCACGCCGCCATTAAGTTAGGGTGCAAATTCGTTTCTCGAATTTTTTTTTAATCAGTGGCATTTTCTCTCCCTCCCCGCTCCTCCTGGCAGAGGCTGTGGGGGGTGTCAGCTGGGGCCGGTGGGGATCTGGGGGCTTGCAGGGTGGGAGAGCACCCTGAAGATGTCCTTGGCTTGGTGGGGGGGACTCTGAGTGGGAGAGTGGGTTGGCCTCTCCACCCTAGCTTTCCTCAAATGAGGTGCCCCAGCGACTGCCTACGGGCTGGGCAAAGTCACCGAGGCAGCCCCAATTAGAGCTGTGCCAATTAGACTGTGCCACAGACTAGAAGTCAAATTTCCGGTGAGCTGCCCGCAGTGCTGTCCCATTCTCCCCGCTGCCCATTGTGAAAAGCTGGGCCAGCGCTTCCTCCTCGTAATTTTTAACTACCTGTTATAAAATTTATGGGTGGGTTTGTAAAAGCACCGAGGTCCCTGCATCCGGCTGAGGGAACAACTTCGCTAACTGGGGAGGAAGTTTGGGGAGGGGGTGAAGGATCCTCCACCTTTGGTCGCAGTAGGTCGTTGTTGTCCGGGTGGGGGAACCTCCCTAAGAAAACCCCTTGTGCCCAGGCGATGGGGAACCAAGGGGTGAGTCAGTGGCTTCCAGACCTCCAGTTGGTGGGCTGGGATCCCATAGCAAATTGTTTTGTGAGGAATGAATTTATTCTGGGCTCCCTCACACTCCATTCACCACCAATATTCCCCGTCTGGAGGAGCGAGGTTGCTCAGAACTTAAGCGCAAAGGTGCCATTCAAGGCGAGAAAAGGTTATTTTTGCAGAGGCTGGGAGAGGCAGGTCCCAGCTGCCCAGACACTGAAGCAGGGATTAAAAAAAATTTTTTTTATTTGTAAGGCAGGCAGGGGTGGGCATCCTGGCTACACTCACAAGGTTTCCAACTGCCTGGAACCCTCAAAGGCAATGGAAAGAAAGGGCCAAGGTCTTGGGCCATAATTTTAATTCTAAAATGATTGGGTGTCATCCACGATTTCAACTTTGGACATGTGGAGACTGGATGTTGGGGAAAGTTCTCATGCTCTCGGAGAAAGGGGCCTAGGGATGAGGGGTGCTCTGAGGGTCCCCAACCGTCAGCCCTTGTGCTGCCTTTGCAGAACTGCCCAGGCCCTCTCCAACCTTCTCTGATCGCTCTTCAGATCACGGCCAGGTGGGGAGGCTGCAAGCAGCCTGAACCTCCCCTGGCTGTCTGTGGTGGGGTGGGGTGGGGGCCTGCAGGGGCACCCCATGGGTCTTGAGGGTGTTGTACTATGGATGCCTAGAAGAAAAGATAGGGGCAGAGCGGGCATCCCTTCTCTGGCCCTTGCCGTGCAGCCATCACTACATCAGTGCTACACACCATTGCAAAGCTCAGGTTTCCTCCAGATAGAAGCGAAATTGTTCCATTTATTAAGGAAAATATTTAAAATTGTGCACAAGAGGGGTGGCAGCCTACCCCTGGCACCAGGATCCATCCTTCCCACCCCAGTTCACCCTCTGGCCCTTTCCACCCTCCCTGGGAGCGGCGTGACCCATGGGGAGTGGGC